ACAATAAAAAAAACTTAAAAGCAAACAAACAGATTGTCTTGAACAACAACAGGCGAAGAGGATCTATTGGTTGAGTAGAGCTAAACTTGCAAGATTAGATTTATTGTGAAAAAAATTTAAAAATACTCAATGGCTATCCAATTAGAGATGCTTGTTGTCTATATGCAGCTAAAAGTTTGAGACTAGGAGACACACAGAAGTGTGAGTAGGAGATACACAAGGGTGAAGACACTGCTTTCAGAATGCTTTGAGAATACCGAAGAAACGGCCAATAAGGGAAAGAAGAAGTAGCCATGTTATTACAACACTACAAATAGTTTTTAATGACTAGGTTTGACATCTGATAATGTGAAAGATCTTTGTTGTACACTGTGTCAGAGGAAACAATTGTGGTTTATTGTTTTCCTTCCATCACTCTTGATTGTTAGGCTAAATTCCTAGCCTCTAAGACATCATAATGTGAATTAATTGAGGACAGGGTATGGACAGAGACAAGTTAATGTAAGTTTATTAGGGTGGGACTTAATCAAGTATTTTAAAGATTTTGTTAGAACTGAGATTTTAATCCAGAGCCTTGTTTTTGCTTGGCTTGCTTGATCAGCTGCCATTTTTGATGGTCATTTTTAATTTATAATCTTTAAGTAGTTGTACAAAGAAGTTCCCATTCTACAAAACAGTATATGAATACATAATGTCTGACAACATTGTCACCCATTGTTGATGGTCATTTTGGAGATGAAGTCTCACAAAATCTTCTGGCTGGGCTGGCATCAAATCTTGATTAGTCATATTCTAGCCTCCTCAGTAGGTTGGATTACAGGCATGAACCACCAGCATCCAGACAAATGACATTTAAATTTTTTTAATGTTTTCTATTGTAAAATTAGTGTACAGAGGGGTTACAGTTACATGAGTAAGGTAATGAGTACACTTCCTCCTTTGTTTATCCCCTACCATCTCTTCTCTCCCCACCACCCTAACATTTTTTATTTTTTAAGAAGGAAATTTGAATCCAGGTACATAAACATGAAGTTGATCACATACAAGCAAAGTAAAGGATCTAGAATAGTTCCTTCCTCAGAGTTTTCTACATGACATTGTCTCTGCATTGATTTCTGTTGTTTTAGTCACTTAGCTTCTGCTTTTCTGAAGAAGCACCATCAATAAGCATTAGCTTTTGGTCCTACAAAGTGGTGAACTGCTGCTGAAAACATATAAAAATGTGGGCATGTTGCTGGACTTAGGTAATAGGTAGATGGTGAAAATGTTTGGGGACTAACGGAAGAAAGATCCTAGTTTGCTTGATGGTAGAAATACAGATTTGGAAAGACAATTCTTGAGGGCTCAGAAGGAAAAAGGAGAGCTACAGAAAAGGTTTCTATAGATTTAAAGAACTCATCTATCATCACAAAAGGAATGTTCCTAGAAGCATTGAATGCTAACATGGATGTGGTAGGAAAATATGGAAATGAGGAAAATGTTCTTGTAAAGCAATGGAATGATTATAATTGTGCTAGTTGCACTAGCAACTATGAGGTCATTTTTTTCTATAGATATTTTCATAATGGCTTATACAATGTGAATTTGTAAAGATCTTTCCCGAGTCTTCATAGCTATTTAGACTATGTGTCACACTTTATACTTGTGATTCTATACACAAGGTATCTTTTCATGGAATTACTTTATCATTATCTTTTTTAAAAAATAAGATGTTATTGTGAAAATACTGTATAGAGGGGTTACGTTTACGTGAGCAAGGTACTGAGTACATTTCTTATCAAGCAATATTGCTTTCATTTTCTTTTGTTATGTCACTTCTTTAAATTTAACTATTTTATCTTCAAAGAATGCCTCTCAGTTTCTAGTGATTTAAAAACTCTAGCACTAGGAATCTATACTACAGAATAGAAAGTATAATTAAAATGTATGTTGAATAGATTTTTAGCAGTACCCATCATTGTCTATATATTATTTAGGCAGGGAGAAATTGTCCTATTCAACTTAATAATCCAGATAGTTGTAGCAGGTAGTATAACACAAGTGGATTACTTTTCTATTTCAGGTGTTTTTTTCTATAAGTGGTTTTACAAGAAGGTTACAATTTATTATGTCCATTTGTGTGTACAATGCATCTTAATCCGCAACACTCCTTCCATTGGTCTCCTTCCCTACCCATTTCCCTACCAGACACCAAATTTCCAGGTTCCTATTTACATATGTTCATTGAGTATTAAGACTGTATTCATCTACCACACTCTTTTCTATTCATCACTTATAGTGAATGATTAGAAATTAAGTTTTTTATTTTTTCTAAGGATGTTTGCAATGTTTTATAGGTAATCTGCTTTGCATATCTGAAATCAGAACCACAAACAGAATAGATGGAACCAAGGAACAATATTACTTACTTCATCCTGCTGGGCCTCACTCAGAATCCGAGAGCACAGAAAGTACTTTCTGTCATCTTTTTGCTCTTCTACATTTTGACAGTTCTGGGGAATCTTCTCATAGTTGTGACTGTAAATCTCAGTAAGACCCTCGATTCACCCATGTACTTCTTCCTTGCTAGCTTATCTTTTGTGGATATTATTTACTCATCATCTATTTCACCTAAGTTGATTTCAGACATGTTCTTTGGGGAGAAAACCATCTCCTTCAAGTTCTGTATGATTCAGCTCTTCACAGAACACCTTTTTGGTGGATCAGAGGTAACTCTTCTCTTGGTGATGGCTTTGGATCGCTACGTGGCCATTTGTAAGCCTTTACATTATTTGGTTATCATGAAGAAATGGGTGTGTGTTGTGTTGCTGGTAGTGTCTTGGTTTGGGGGATTTTTGCACTCAATAATTCAACTAATCACGATTTATGGGCTCCCGTTCTGTGGCCCCAACATCATTGATCATTTTATGTGTGACATGTATCCTTTATTGGAACTTGTCTGCATTGATACCTATGTCATTGGTATCTTAGTGGTGGCCAATGGAGGACTGATGTGTGTGATTATTTTCACACTCCTGCTCATCTCCTATGGTGTCATCTTGCATTCTCTAAAGAACTTTAGTAAGGAAGGAAGGCGGAAAGCTCTCTTCACCTGTGGTTCTCACAT